CGTTTGTAAGTCGTTTTTTTTTTTAGGTTTGGTTGGAGGTTTTTGGTGCGTCGGAAGAGCGGGCAGGGGGCGACAGAGGCGAGGAGGTGGTGCTTGCCATGCGTGTGGAGGTGAAGTTTGGCACTCAGGCCCTCGTGGTGGAGTTGCCAGATGGCCCCACGCCGCCAACCCTTCTACAGCTGAAGGAGCAGCTCTACGCCCAGACGGGTGTGCTGCCCGCGATGCAGAAGCTGCTAGGCAAACCCAAACTGAACGACGCTAACAGTGATGCCAAATCGCTGGTACAGCTGGGTGTGCGCAACAACGCGAAGCTGATGCTCATTGGCTCCGCTGTGGCAGAGGTGGTGTCGGTGAACACCTCCTCCGCTGCACAGAAGCGGCAGGAGGAGGAGCGGGAGAAGCTGCTGCGGAACCTCCCGCTGAACATTTGGATGCTTCCCTCCTTTGCTGGCCTCATGGCGGATCCGTACGTGGAAGGCAAAGGGTTCCCGCTGGAGGGCGGTGGGGTGGCGGTGGCGCTGCTAACCCTCGACGTGGCGCTCTCGCGCATCAACACGCTTGGCGCAACAACGTCGGACGGTGGAGGCACGGCGGCCTCCCTCCTGCAGTCGTTGGGGAAAGAGGGGCAGGCAATCATCTCACACCCGTTGCTGCGTCAACTCGGTGCAGCGGATCGTCAGGCGATTCAGAAGGCACACGGCGCGCTGCGTCGCTCCTACTACTTTGCCCAGGAGGCGGAACGGGCGCAAGACCCGGAGCAGGTGCTTGCTGTTGTCAAGAGGGCCGTGTCCTTGGTCAGTGGACTCGCGCTGGGGGAGTGGCTGCTGATGCCAAGCGGTTGGGCTGGGCTGAATGCCGCGAACGCCGTCTACTTGCTCATCCACAGGCGCAGGCCGGAGGTGTTTGACATCGTCGTCGTGAATCGCGGCAGCGAGGGCATGTCGTACCACCCGTCATGGCAGACGGCGGAGAAAATAGTGTCGTGCCCGCTTCTCCGCTTTGAGGGAGTTGCGAGCGTCCGTCTGCTGGATCCAACCTTTTGGCTGCTGCTGCTCTCCCTTGGGATGCGTGGGAACGCGTCTGGCGATCGGTCGGAGTACATCCGAGAGGAGGTCTTCTACGATGTGCTGCTGCCGTGGCTTGTGGAGCAGGGGCACAAACTCACGGACCCACCGCGGTTTGCGACGGAGATGCTGCTCGTTTCTCCTGACGGCCAGGACGAGGAGGATGCCGCCGCCTCCACGCAGTGTTTCCCGGCTGCTGTGCACAAGCACCGCGCGACGGTGGCGCAAAGTGCGTCAAGCGCCGTCAAGGGAGCCGTCACGGCATTTGTGTACCTTCTGGAGCAGTACGGCGTGCGGGAGCGCCCCGTGCAGAAGTCCATAAAGTACGCGCTGAAGTATGAGTTTATGATGCGTGCGGCGGAGGACCTCAGCGCCCTTGCCCGCCGCTTCCTGCGCTGCAGCGCAACTGGCATCGCTGACCGCAGCGACATCAACAGTGACGGGGCAAGCATCACCGACGATGTACCTGGGACCGAGGGCGCCGTTGCTGCCCGTATCGGGCAGGCCATGCAGCTGCTGCGACTTGCCGGGGTCGACGACACGATGTCGGCAGCAACGATGGACGATGTCTGGCGCACTGCACGAGCGTCGGGCACCATCTTGATGAACGATAAGAACGTCGTCCTTACCGGAGAGCACTTCAAGGGGAAGACGGTGCTTGTCTACTGTGGCGGGCTGCATGAGCAGTCCTGCAGAAGGTTCTCTATGCTTCTCTCGGAGGCAACCCCACGGCTGCGTGGCGCAATGCCTCGTGTTGAACTTCTCTTTCTTAGCTGCGATCTGAATCGCCAGATGTATGAAGAACACGCGTCAATGTTCATCTTTCCCCGTGCCGCGTACCCGTGCACGGAACTGCTGAAGCAGTTGGACGTCATCCACGTTCCGGAGCTCCTCCTCTTTGACACCGATGGCCGATTGGTGCATCGGCGGGGCGTGGCTGCGCTTCGCACGGATCCGGAGGCGGTGCTATTTCCGCGTGGTCCATGGAGCGGCGCCACGCCCCTGACGGCAGTAGATGTAGCGATGTTCCGCTGCAGCGCCGCCCAACTTGCACACCACACAAATAAACGCCTCACAGTTGAAGGCGGTGCACTTACCGCAGAGGATGCCACACGCGTGCTGGAGCTTCTAAGTGCTGTGCAGCAGATGGTGGGGGCGCTGCCTAAAGAGACGCAGGCGATGCGAAGTGGTCTCTCCACTAACTGGCCATCGGAGGAGCACGTAACTAACGCACAATCACGGGAGGGCGAGGGTCAATGGTTTAAGCTCTCGCAGCAGTGTTGTGCGGCGGTGGAGGACAGCGCATTTGCAAATGCAAGTCTTTTGCCGTCCGTCTCCACGGCGGCGTACTACGGGCAGCCGGTGCAAACGGTTCTGCCGGAGCTGAAGGACCTCAGTGACGTCCGCCGTGTGACGGGGTGGTCGCAGCTCGATGTGACGCTTGAGCGCGCGGTAGAGGCAGTGGAGGCGTTGTGGTTGCGCGCCCGCCACAGTGGCACCACCTCGCGCGTGGCGATCCAAATGCACATTATCGAACTCGTCTCGTGGATCTTTCTGGAAATTGTGCCTTTGCCGCTGCCGCAGGGCACCGACATGCTCGCGGTGCCGGCGGAGGAGCAACAGGTCGTGGCGAGTTTTTACACGGAGGAGGCGCTTCCAGAAAGGCGTAACACGAACGCCAGCAACGGCGACGGTGGCGATGCGCAGACGCACATACAGGAAAACATCTACTCGCTTGTACTCTCGTACGCCACGGCGTGGCAGGCGGTGGAGGTGCCGACGCGTGCCTTTGATTCCGAGCGTTGCTTAGTTGCTATGGCTGTTCTTGTCGTGTATGATGCGGTTGCCCGATGCACGCGCGGCGATGGGCAATGCAGCCTTTTTGCCTCGTTTCTAAACAGTGACGGCGGGTATTACCTTTCCACCTCCGTTGGCAAACAGTCCCTGCCTTTTGTGCGTGCCAGCGCCACGCTGGAGCTGGTGCGACCGCAATTTCTGCTGGCCCGCTCCGCCATTCTGCGCTACATTACGTTCCAGCAGCAGAACTACGCCCACGAGTTGTTTGACCTGCAGATGCCGGAGAAGTTGGAAATACGCAAGGGGAGCATTACGGTGGGGTTCCTGCGACGCTTGCTTGACAACTACGGTTACCGCCTGCATGACGCGGGTGGGTTTGCCGCCGCGGGCTCCGAGATGGACATGCTCATGCAGTGGTTCTGCGGCTCCCGCACTCCATTGGCGCGGGAGCACCCCGAATTTGGGCGGCTGCGTGACATGGTGCTTCTCACAAAGTTTCTGGCAACGATGGAGATGCGGGATGCGCAGCTGCTGCGCCGCCGTAAGCAGCTTGACGAGCTTGCGACGTGGCGTCTCACCTTCGACGAGGACGCTCCTGGGCGCCAAATGAGTGCCGGCTGGCGCACAACTCCTTCTCCCCCGGAGTGGGAGTGCGTCCTGGTGCGTGGACGCGACAGTGACATTGCCGACATCGTTGTGACGGGTTTTGGTGATCGGGAGTTGCTCTACGGAGAGGGGCTCGTGCTGCAGTCCCCTATCGACGTCGGCGTCCTCCTCGCCGTGGAGCACCCCACCGAGGACGACGTGCTGCACGCCACCTCCATGCCAACCTTTGGGGGGACGATGAGTGAGGAGGAGTCGGAGGTTTTGCTGTCGTGCCTGACGGTGCCCTACGTGCGGCTGCCGCTCGTGCTGGACTTCTTTGCCTCACAGGACCGCCACGCGTACCTCTTCACCACCGCCTTGCAGAGCGTCTTGCGTGCGGTGCTTTTTGAACCCGCCGTGTTTGTCGCACCAGAGGTGCTGCGGACGGCAGCTCCAACGTTGGTGCCAATGCGGCTCACGGAACAGCAGCGGAGTGTCATTGAGCAGCGTCGCCTGCGTGGCGACTTCTCGGCGGAGGACTTTGAGTCCTACCTCGGAACCACCTACGGTCTGCTGCTGAATGAGCTACAGCACAGCCCCGCCTCTGTGCTCGACCCGCTGCGCCGCATTCTTGAAGGGGTGCTGGAGATTGGACCCTCCTCCGTTTACAGCGCGAACGCGTCATACGTGCTCTTCCTTGTGGGTGTCGTGTGTGACGTGCTTCTCTTTTGCAATCTTGCGCGTGGGTGGGCGTCGCTGGCGGACTCGGAGCAGCTGGTGACGATTACAAACTACCAGACCTCGATTCTGCAGTTTCTCCTCACGACGGTGCAGCCGATTCTGAAAGAGTGGTGCCGGGAGGCCGAGGGGAACGACGACACCCCGACGCAGTGCGTGCTGCAGAGTTACTTGGCGGTCATTCATCGTGCGGCGTGGAAGACGGCGGGGGTGACGGAGCGTTTCTCAGCAGACTGTCAGGACAAACACAACGATGGGGAAGACGACCGGTCATGCAGGACGGCCGCCTCTCGTGCGCTGGAGTCCCACCAACACTTGGTGTCTCTTCTCGAGTCGTGCGCCTTCGTGCGTGCCAGGCACAGCTTCGGCATGGGCATGCAGCGCACACAACTCACCGCGCAGGAAGGGGACCGGCTGCTGTCGCCAGAGGAGAAGCTGCAGCGGTTCCTGCAGGCCCAGGGCCTTGACACCACACGTGGCGCGAAAAAAATGCTGGAACAGGGGCGGCAACTGATGCTCAGCGGAGGTCGCCGCCGCGCCGTCTTTGTGCAGATCCGTGGTCGCTACTACAACGACACGGTACGGCTGCCGAATCTTTTCCGCAGCGACGCCCGCAGCACGACGGAGTCACGGCAGCTCAAACTGCCTCCCGCGGATGTCCCGGAGAATGTCATCTTCAGTTATCTCCTGGAGGAGTTGCGTGACATCCTTGCGTACCTGGATGCACTCTCCGCGGCGGACCTCTCCGCCCTCTTTCAGCGTATCGTAAAAGTGGTGCTCCGCGACCACATCCACGACCCAGAGGTTGCCGCTGACAACAACGCCACTGCTGGGACCATGGAGGGTGATGCACCGTCGTTATTGGGCGCCAGAGACTCCGGTGCAATTCGTGCGCAGTCATCCCTCGAGGAGACGGTGTCGTCGTCGTGGGTACTGTGTTCGCCTGGCGTTTATCGCGGGCCCGCTGCGACAGGCCTGGTCTTCCACGTGCACACCTGTGAACTGTTCTGGCGCAACGACGAGCTCAAGCCGGTGCCCGACAGCATGTCGCACTTTACTGACTTTGAGACAATCCTCGGCCACGATGTGCTGCAATGCGGTCTCGTGATGCGTCACAGACACCGTCACTGGGTGCATGTTGTTGGCACACCGTTTGACGTCATGGAATGGACGGCGCCCAGTCCACTGGATCAGGGCGTAC